TTCCAGTTTCTTTCTGGTTTTAGCCATTACTATTGAAAAATAGGAAAAAAACCAAATCAAGCACATATATGCTGCTTAGAAATAAGTAAAAACACCTCAGATGTGGTGTTTTTATTTTAGAACTGCTAAGCAGCACTTTCCCCTTTATAGTTCACAATGGATCTGTAGCATTTCAGGTAACTGAATGAAAAACCTCAGTTATTTTCATAAAATATCCCCACATAACATTGCACTCAGCTCTTCTCCTGCTAGGATCTGGCCTCCCCCTTTTTACCACTCTGAAGCACCTCCTTGTTCTGTGCCAAAAGTCTTGACTACGCCTCATACATAAAACTGAGGAAATCAAAGGGACTTCTGCCAGTTCTCTGCCTTCTTCATAAAAAATTATGTCCATGTTCTTTTGCATGGACTTTCGTCTCCTAACTTTTATGAATTTCAGAGGGAAAAAAAAAAAGTCCAATGTCAACCATCATATGTGGAAGAAATAAAATTCTCTAATAAAAGCAATAATCTACAGACAAGCCTGGAATGTGTTTGTATCTCATGGGTTTCATACATGGCAATTAAAATCCCAGTGTAGGTGCATAGTAGAATGTTATTTATTCTTTGCAGTTCCACAGAGGAAAATTATCCAGAAATGGTTATCTTATTCTTTTAGATAGCTTTTTTTTTTTTTGTGTTTGTGTATAACCCTATCAATTTATACCCCAAAATGCTGTTTAAAACACCAGCATTTTGGTCTATCTTTTGTGAAAGATCTGAATTTTCCATTTATGTATTAATGGATATTTTTCTAATGGACAGAGAGGTTGTCACAAGAAGAAACAGAATAAATTGTTTCTGTGTTTTGTTATGGTAGAATAAATAATCTTGATACAATCTTGTTTTAAACGTGCAAAGAACAAATATAATTTCTGAATTATAATGACCAGACCAGGAAAAATCCAGGTTAGTCTTTTTTCTTAGTTTATAGTAATTTGCTACACAAATGCAAAGCAAATGTAAGGTGTTTAAATCAGAAAATAAGGGACTCATTGGCTATAGAAGCCAATTTTAAGAATTAAGATCTTAGTATAAGTAAAAGGCAAAAATTCAGCTCCTTTTGAAGCAAATGGATTGTGTCTCATATAAGATCAATTGAATACAGTTGTTGTTACAGTATATTTAACATTAGGCCGTGGCCATAAAAATTAGGGATATTTATTTCAGAGAGAATTCTCTCTGGTCCAGAGTTGTATCTTTTTTTATAGTGGCATAATTTATTTAGTTGTTTTAGCTTAGGAATACTATTAGCAATTTTGAGCACTTAAAAAGCTCACACCAACCCCCATCAATCTCTACCACATGTGAAGAAATTAACCTCTGATTATAGTAAATGAGAATTTTTCTGTGACTGCCTGATTTCTGTAGAAATTTAGTTAAAAAAAAATCAAAACCAAGCAAACTCCATGGGTCTTGAGCAAATTGAGCTCATATTCAGCCTTAGGTGAGCATAACTGACAGGATGTGACCCAGGCTGGCAGAGTTACCTTATCTTGTATGAATTGTGAGCTGTGTCTTCTGCAATTTTTTTTAAACCAAGTTTAAAGAATAATTGCATTATTGCTCTGTTCTTTTCCAGAAAAAAAAAAAAAAGAACTTTATGGTGGAAAAACAGCAGTGTTTGCTGCTGCAATATCCTAGTAGTGTCACGAATACAAAATAGGGTAAAGGTTCACCTGTGCTTTACATTTATTTGCAGCTTTTCTTTAGAAGAACAATAAGTGCAAGTAGGAGAAGAAATATTTGCCACCAGGAAATTTGTTAGCTGGTTTTGAGAAGTGGTAGAAAGACAAATGGTCTTATTACCATGCCTATGAACCAGAGGAAAACAATGTTCTTGGGAATGTTGTGTAATGGTATAAGAGACATGTTTGTCTGGACCTCAGAGTATCTGATTGCAGATGATTACCAGAAGTTGAAACACGCTGTTATAAAATCATATTAACCTCCAGTTGTACAAACATACCTGATTTTAAAGCACAATAGATACAGGATACCTGGAAATTACCGTAGCACCTTAAAAAATTATAAGGGGCTTGGATTTTATTTGAAGTGCCTGTTAGGAAACCAGGGTTTGGCAAAATTTGGCTCAAGGGTGATAATCCAGGTGTGATGCCAAGTGAAACCTGGAATGAAACTTTCATTCATCTGTGCCCTTTTGCTCAGGAGGTGAACAGTGCTGGAGTGCAAGGGAACCTTAACCCTTGAGGAGCCTGTGGCAGTGGTAATTATGGTAGTAAAACCTGAGTGAATTTATCCTTCTGCAGATGATGGAGGACAATCACAAAATATATGGAATAATAGTTTCATCTCTGGTTCATAACCATGAGGTTTTGGGGGTTTTTCCCATTAGAATGCTATTTTGCCATCAACAACTATGGAAGAAATGAGATACTGTCTTGCTTTCTATTTGAAAACTTGGTTTCTTTCTGTGTTTTTCAGCTGAACTGCTGAAAATGTGACATATCAGAGACACTTAGTGACCTCCAAGTGGATCCTTCAAACATAACTTAAGTCAGTGGAGCAGGATGACAGTAGCATTTTTATGCACTGATCACAGTGTCTCCAGGTAAAATGAAGACTTTCTGCTCTAAAATGCTGCTTACAGTTTTAAAAACAACAAAACCAAACCAAAAACCCCATGTTGAAATTTGCCATCCCAGGTTTGCATATCTTGCTGAATTATTTCCTTCCTATCCTTAGCAAACGTAGCCTCAGCTGTCCTCTGAGAAGGGGAGGCACCATGTCTTACATGCTCTGTGCTCTTCCTGGTATTTCCAGACAGAAGGGAGCTGCTGGGGACAGTCTGGTGTTGATTTGGAAAAGAAAATGAAATGCAGAAAACACAGGACAAGGTGGTAACAAGACAGGTTGGAAGCAACAGCAGAACAGCAAAAAAATCAATGTAAACAGAAAATATGGATAGGGTTAGGGGCATTTAAATACAAACAGAAAATAAGGAAAGAATTTTTAAAGTTATCTGAGGCGACTAACACTATGGAGCAAAAGAACTAACTTTTAGGAAGCTACGTATTCAAAGGAAAGGCTAACAAACAGACTTACTGGAAGGAACACACAGCCACTTTCATCAACTGAAAATCAACTCCAGTGTTTGTATTTCCTGTATTTCTCGAACCAGCTAAGAAAGCAGCATTGACCAATGTTTGCTAAGGACAACGTTTGTCCTTAATATGTTTTACACTTTACTTGCCTACATTGTGCAACACAGCCTACTCTCTGAATATCCTTCATTTGCTTCACTAGCACTGAAATCATAAACTCCTTTAAGATAGATGTGGAAACACAGAAGAAAAGTTGCTTCGCTACTCAAAAATTGTTTGTTCTTTATCAGGTCTGTGTCCTTGAATCTTGCTGGGCTTCTGTGCTATGTGGCTCAGAGCAAGGTCAGAAAATAGTTTACAAGTTATGATGGTTATATAAAATATTCTATTAGGAAATCATAAGCAAGCATAGTAGAAATATACGTATATTTAAATATCTAATTTCTCTTGCTCCACCTTATTAATATGCTGGTGAAAATCCAGAGAAGGAAAGTTTATAATTTATCAAAACTACTGCAGTTTTTCTCAGGAGTCTAACACAAGAAAAATTCTGTCTCCCTCCAGGTTTCCCAGGCCGTAAGTCAGCATGGGAAACCCACTAATGCAGGCAAACCTCATCGTCTTCTCCCATTTGCCTAACCTGTGGTTTCTTCCAGGTGCAGTTGAAGTGCTAAAGTTGTTCTCACCACAGACGCAAAGGTCCTGCGAGTGACCTTTTCTAGGGCTCATTTAGAACCCAGGTAATGGCCTGTCTCATGTTCTCTGTTTGGCTTTGGTGGGGTTTTTTCCAAAAAAACAATTAGAAAACCTCTGCCAGAAGGTTATTAAAAGCATTACATCAATCTCTCAAAAGCTAAGAAATGTGAAATTTAACAAGAAACTTTAAACAAAGGTTACTCATGCAAATTTAAAACAGCCCTCTCTGTCAAGGTACGTACAACTGGGTCCTGCTTATTTATTTTTCACAAGACTGGTGCCTTTTCTAGGGCACTCAATAAACAATGGTGCAGGCACAGATGCCTAGTCAGGCATCTGTGGGCACACCACGGAGCACAAAGGACTCTACATCAGTTGTTGAGGTAAGTATGAACATGCAGGGCACAGTGCAGAGTGCCTGTGGAGGTGATCCAGCAGCATCTCAGACTGATATGGAAACTGCTTGTGCTCCCCCTCTAGTCTCAAAGCACTTTATTCCTCAACTGTCTTGGCTGTTAGCCTTGCTGCAACATCAGGATACTGGCCTGACACCACAAGGATGATGAGACCACATCTTACTTGTTTGAACTGGAGTGCAGGCTCAAAGAGCTTTCCTGAAAGTCTCCATTAAATAGAACCAACTTTCAGTTGGGAATAACTCTAAAACGCTTGGCAAGGCATTTCAGTGATGTTCCTGTAGTCACAAGACTGGTGTAGAACAGCTTTTTCCTTCACTGAAAGGTCATTGTTCTGTAGGAGACAACTGTTATTTAGGATCTATAAACTTCCCCTGGAGTATTCTGTAAGATATTTAAGTATGTGCTTCTGTAGCTGTCTCCTCTACACACATTACAGACCTACCATTGACTTTTGCCTTTGCTGCTACAGTTCTGAGATTCTGCTTCAGTCATTCTCACTGGTAAGTCCTCGGTCTGTAATGAGAATGATAGTGTATATTATATTCCAGGTGAATTTGTTTTGGCTTATCTTCAGTGACTTTTCCAATTTAACATTTACACAGCCATTCTGCGGACACATCAGGTATTTCAAACACGTATTGAGAAACTGCTTTGTTCTGCTCTAGGTTTGGTGTTCTAAAACGTGTGAAAGTGTTTCTACAAATTAAAAAAGTCCCTTCAAGTATTTTACTCACATTTTAAGTATGTTTGCCTCTTGAAGAAAATCATATGCAAATTCACGTCATATGACATGTTCTTTGTATTTCCTGTAAGTAAGATGATGAATCTCAAGTTACATGCCCTATAAATTAGACGGTTTAATAAGCCTTTCTTAATTCATATTGGAGCTGCTAGGTAAGTTGAACATCTTTTAATGGGTTCTTGCTTAAATTACATTTAATCTATTAAACTATTACAAAATTTTCCATTTCTGATTTATGTCTCAACATTTTTTATTATCACTTTCACCTATTTTTATAGACCATGCCACTTGCTGTGAAGATACGCTAAAAATGGATGCTGCAATGGAAGAATGAGCATTAAAAATTATTTTGTTCTTAAACCAATCAATAAAAACAGCTTGAGCCAGTTTGTCCTAAACCAGCTTTCTCTTGCTAAAGCAACCATGTGTCTATTGCTCTCCTGTAAAATTAAAACTGAAACTGTAGCTTTTTCCATGGGGCAAAATGGTATATAATGGTATCTGTAGTACAAAGAAAAGGTCTGAAGGGGATGTTTTGGGTTTTTGCTCTGTGGACTTTTGTAGATTAGCCAACTGTCTTTTGGAAAAATATTTTAATGGTTTGAAATAAGCTAACTTTGCAGCTACATTAATGGCATTCATGTCACTGTGAGCAAAGCTTAACATACAGAAAACTTCACACCCAGACAGCAAAATTCTGAAACATCTTTCCTTTTTTTTTTTTTTTTTTTTTTTTTTTTTAAATACAGGACTCTACACTGGAGAGAAAACCAGTCTGTTTTACCTTTGGTTTTAAATGATGCTGTCTCCGCAGTTGTTCCACAAAATCTTAGGAGTAGCTTTTTTCCTGCTCCCATTATGTGTGCAAGGTAAACCTGCAGGATTTCTTTCAAATATTTTCAAGTATTTGACTGAAGATGGAAGTGATGGAGGATTTATACCAGGTATAAAGTTACCATCTCTATTTTTATCTGCTGTGCTTCATTTTTATGCCTTGTAAACTCAGTGCTATCTCACATAATCTAATGGGGGTTCTACTTGAGAGAAAATAATCATATCTTTATTAATTCTTTGTATGAAATAAGATGTCTAAATCTCTCCTATTTAATGATGCAGTGGTTCAATTCACAAAGAAAAGGTTATAATTTTCTGCAGCAGAAGGAACTTGCTGCTGAGTGCTAAGCTGGAGTTGCAAGCAAGGGTTTGAACAGCTTATAGAATTCTGTCAAGGATTCAGTCCCTAGAAACAGTTAAAAATCAGCTAAACCTACTGCACAAGTGCCAGTGTTTTGCATGGAATGGCTCAATCACTTAGAGGGAAGACTAATTCAGTTTACCAATTCCAGTTTTCCACAAACATCACTGCTCTGGAGGTAATTTCCAGGAACGTATCCCCTATCATTACAGAGATCAATCTACAAAGATATCCCCTGCTTAAAACACAACAGTAAACTAAACCATGTCAAACATTTCAAAAGTTTGTATTCATTTTTCGTGATTAACCTGTGCTTTATCTTGAAAGCCAAGACTCAGACTGTAACACAAAGTACATAATAGCTGCTTTTGTTCATAGCTTTCATACCAGTGGCTGATGATGAAACGGGAGACATTAATCATCATTTGGAACATCGTATTTCCAGACTGGAAGGAGGTATTTTATCTGCCTTTACTTTCTGCTGTAACTGGATTAGTGGGGATAGAAAAGATGAGCAAAAATGGCTTCTTAGGAAAAAGGCAGTATTTTCTGTAGTTTTGTTGCATTCTATTTATATCCTGTTTATATCATGCATGATAACTCTCAAATGGGGGGATGGGGAATCAGATTGTCATAGTTAGCAGGAGATGTCTGGGTAACAGTTCTGAAGTAGGAGAGCAAGCAAGTCAAGAATGAACCAGATTAAAAACCCCTGCCTATGCTGAACTGCTCCATGGGCACCTCGTGCTCCCAACAGACAAATAAACTGAACACTGAAAACATACCAAAACAAGCATGATTAGATCACATCTAAGATCCTACTCACTCAAGCACATAACACCAAATGTCAAGGGCATCTGTATACCGCAAACCATCTCGGAGTCTTAGAGAGAGTCTCAAAGAAAGTCATATACTTCTTCCAAATGTAGAATTCCTCACTTCCTTCCCTATTTCTCCAACCTGTTTTATGAGTCTCCTATTTCACCGCCTCTGTATTTATCTGCTTCTTCCCTTTTTCCCCTCTCCTCATTTTCAGATTTCTTGTGGCTTTTGGGGATTATATTTTTTCCTTCTTTTTTTTTAGCTCTGATTTCAAGTTCTCATTTCCTTTACCTTTTCCTGAGTTTAAACTAAAATTATGGAGGAAAATAGCAGGAGTTAAAATGGGCAGTGACCACAAAAAAAATGCATAAAAGTTTAACAGCTTTCACCTCATCTTGCAGTCCTCCGCTTGGAAAAGAGGATAACAGAATTTGGAGGGAAAATATTTGCTACCAATGGGAAAAAGGCTGATTTCAATACTACACTGGAAAAATGCAAAGAGGCTGGAGGATCTATTGCTGCTCCGAGGAACCCAGGCGAGAATGATGCCATTCAGTACTTCGTGAAAACTTTTAATACCTACGCCTACCTAGGGGTAAAGGAATCTCTTATTCCAGGCAAATTCCAGTTCCTGGATGGTACAGAGCTGGGCTACACTAACTGGCATTCAAATGAACCTTCTGGCAAAGGGGAAGAGGGATGTGTGGAGATGTACACTGATGGCACTTGGAATGACAAAAGGTGCAATCAGAATCGCCTTATTGTCTGCCAGTTTTAGTGCTTCCCTTGCTGCTCTCTGGCAGGCTTTCTGGAATATGCTTCTCTCTTGGTTGTCTCTTCATCTGTAGCCTAGTGAACTCATATAATGGAGCATCAAAAAATAAAATTCACTCTTTCCCGGCCTGATTTATCTTTTAAATAAATGCCAACTATAAAGAGGAAGTTGTTTATAACAAAACCAGTGGCCATTTTGCCTGTTTTGTTATTCACTGCCCACTGAGTCTCTTAATACTAATGTCTATGGGTTTCTACTGCTGTTAGCCTGCTACTTTATTACAAGATCAAAAAGTAGATTTCTTGGGCACCTGCCTAAAGTGACTTGCAGCCATAAGATTTTCCAGCACCCCTTGATCCATGAGCCTCAAAGTTGTGTGTATTTTGATCCCTTTCTGTAAGTTTTCCTTACCAAAACTACCCGCACAGACACTTCTGCTGCCACTGCTGTTGCTCAGCCTGTGTTTCCTTGGCCACCCTCACCCACAACAGGTCCCTTGAAGGAAGACACGAGCACTGCTGAGAGGGTGACACAGAGCCATGAGCACACAGGGGACTCATCCACCTTACATTTCCCATGGGAAACTCTCGAGTCAGCAGGTCTTTAACCTTCATGTACCTCAAAAGTGGTGGCCAGAAGCCACCAGTCCTGAGCCCCTGCAGCAATTCCTAATGCCTTTCTGACTCAAAGGAGTAGCAGCACAAGAAACCTAAGGCTCTGTGCCACATGGGATGTGCATAGAAGGGAACACACAGGAGCTAAAAGGAGTTACCATATTGTTTGGGTCAATAGAGCTGTAAAAGTCAATATTTTTAAGCTAGATTGTTGCAAGATTCAGAGACAACTAATATTGGGCAACACAGAGCTGTTTGTCAGACCCCCACTGAGATCCTCACAGAACTAAGCTGGGTGGATGCCCACCCTTCTGAAGCAGCCGATACTCTGCACTCCTTGCAGAAGCTGCTCAGAGCATGCACTTTCCAGCTCAGACTAAAGGCTCTGCATAAGCTCCATGACATGGCACAAAGGCTGGTTGAGTGTCTGGGCATGCCTCCATACACATAAATCCAAATGCCTGGCCATCAGTCACACTCACTTGCACTTGGTTAGTTCCAACTTGGTCAAGCACAACTGCGCAAGAAGGAAATATTCCCCTCTGTGTGACATGGAGACAGAACAAAGTATGAAGGTAACTGGGGAGGGAAGGCGTGCTCACAGCTGGTGTGAACCCAGGGGCCAGCAAAGGGGCTGCTTGGAGCCTCGTAGCTCTGCACATCACTGTAATTCCAGAGCAGCAACTTGCCATGCACAACATTCCTGCACTGGCTGAAGTTCAATTACTGAATTATTTTGAGCACAAGGTCTCGCCACCTGCTCTGTGACAAGGCATGGCTCTTCCTGGCCACAACTCAGCCCTGTGTTTGATGTCAGGGCCCGCAAATCATTCTTGCTGTTATTTTCTGCAAGCTAAGCAATTTATCTTGCAGATATTTACTTAGGATGATTAATGCAGCAGGGCTAACTTCAAACCAAGACACCTTTCTGCCTGCAGGTGGTCTACCTCCACAGGTTACTTAATTATTCACTCCAGCAGTATTCAAATCCTTCATCACAATGCATACTAAATAGGACCACTTTTTCAAGAGTTATCATCTCAACATATGCAAAGATAGAACTTATGTGAGCAAAGTTCTCAGTTTATCCCTGCATGTGTTTAGTATATAAGGAGATCTCCAAGATGTTTCTGGACAATATAGGCAAAATATAAACTACTGAACCCCGTGTTATCTGAGGTCTAGGTAGGCTGCTGTATTAATCCAGATGAAAGGTACACAGAAGGCAAGCGAGGACTCAGGAGTCCATAGGCACTGTGTCATTTTCAAGCTCTATTCTCACTCACAAATATTTTACAGCTCACCTGTACCTGCCTGCACCCACCAGCTCACCTGCCCACATCCTCAGCCTTGCGTGACTCCTGTTGTGAAACCAACTCTGCCACGAGCACAAGGAAACAGGATCGTGAGCATCGCCTCGTATAGTAGTTTTCCACTCATCGTATTCCAGTAAAGCTTAGGAAGTTCACAATGATTAACATCAGCCTGAGAATGAAGTTGGACACACACCCCACCACCACCAAACATCTAAAGCCAAAGGTTTTTTTATTTTATCCTGCTTATCTCCAGAGAGTTACAGAGTTATCTCATAATTAGAGATATCTGCAGGTGTCTGAAAAAGTGGCTGCCTTCAGCGTTAATCTAATGAATATGTGCCACAGGAGAAATGTTCCACCACCACCCCATCTTTGGCTATTTCTCCTGTGGACTCCCAGGGAAGAGGGTAAAGGACTTTGTGTGTTACTGCACAGCTATAGATGCTAACCCTGTTCAGACACTGTAGCTACTTGTGGTTCTAGGTGAAGACATAAAAACCTCAAAGCAAATATATGTCATTCTGCCTGACACTGCCACCTCCAGCAAGCCTGCTGACAGCAGACAGGACTGGAAACAGCAGTCTTGGCCTGAAAAGCAGATTGGTTCAAGATTTGGGCACTGAATTTATTTCCTAAATCTGAATGAGAGGGAATTACAGCATCCTCTGATTTGTAGGAAGACTCAGACTGCAGTTTGGCCTTCACACCTTCCCTTGTCAATAGACAAGGGCCAGATGCAGTACTGTGTTCAGGAAGGAGGGCCAGTTCTCAGGGACTGTGTAATATCATCTCCACAACAGCATGGACCAGAGCCAGAGTTGGCTTAGCAAAGCCTCTGAAAAGGTTTCTATGTGCTCTTTACTCTGTACAATACAGAGTATTGTACTCTGCAGCAGCCTGAGCTTAACTGATTTTTCAGATATTTAAATAAATTTAAATAAAGCTAAGCTTGTAAGTAGCAAAATGGGTTGTAGAACGTGCATAGTTGGAAGAGAGTTGGGTATATGAACGCCTTGAATTTGCAGTGACCTTCATCTCTGAAGGTTGCATGTGCTATTCATAATAATCAGTCATAATGTGAGTTAATCAGATTACTCATTTCTGAGTATATAAAATCATTTACAAGGAAAGCCCAAGTGGTTTCCTGGCAAAAAAAAAAAAAAAAATGGGCCATCAATTTTCACTACAGGTGAGTGTCTCCTAAAGCCGCTTGTGCACGTGTGAACAGCCAGCTATTGTTTTGCTGATCAGCTCTTTGGAAACGATTGTGCCACTTTAAGAACACCAAGTGGGAGGCAATACAAGCACCACTGAACAAACAAGTACCTGTGTACACTGCTGCGCTCACCTGAGCCTCAGACAGCTGAGGGGACGCTGCCCTCACCCTCCCTTGCTCGTTCTGCAGACTGAACACCTCTAACACACACTCCTGCTGCCCAACAGTGGAGGATGGACACCCAAACGAAGCAACGCAATTTTCTGTGCAAGACTTGCAAGACACCTTGAGGACACCGAGAAGGTAAGAGTAGACAGCAAAGATCTGAATGCCTACAGGGTCACACAAGTTTTAGAGAAAGCCAGAACTTATTTCAGGTAGTCAGGTTGAGAAAGGTGAAAAAATTCAACACAAATTCAAGTGCTTTGCAGCCCTCCTGTAAAAATAAAGGAATAGTTAAATTGTTTCTCATTTGGTTAAAAGGTTGTCAGCAGGGAAGATGTGAAAAAGAAATATAGAGTTGCTAATTTAGGTTCACTAATATCAAAATATTTTGCTAAATGGTTAGAATTATGACTGCAAGTGAATTGCATAGGGCAATCTTTTTTTCTCCTTTTAAACATAGCAGACGTTCAGTTTGCATAAGTTCATTCAAATGTGTTTAAAGTCTAAATATTTCAGAACAGGAAATATCTGTTTGACTCAGATGTAGGTAACTCATCTCTGATACACATTCAGTAATCAGGAAAATAATAGATATGCGTCAGAATGTGTTATCTGAGATAATACAAAGCCATCTTATTAGACAAAATACAAAAATCAAAATCTTTGTGTCCAGAAAAGTGTGATTGATGATTCCTTTAAATAACAGCTGAGAAAATTCTCTTGCATTCTCACTTTTATTGTAATCACCTGCTTCCCTTTGTAAGTGAGGTGAAACTAAAGGCGTGATCAGCATATACCCAACACCGTGCTATGCTACTTTTACCTTATTAAATATTCTGTCTTCATCATAACTTTCAAAATCTTCTCCCAGGTTTCACATATTTGATTTCTTCACCCAAATTTCATATTTTTTTTCTAGTATTTTAAGCTAGATTTTTGCCCTGCAGTGACTTTACTCACAGGCAGCTAAATATACACAGATTTTACTTAATCAGACTAAGTTGCAGCATGCTTTATAAAGGCTGAAATCCTGTATAAATGAATACGAAGCTATTTACAATTAGCACTGAATTCAGTTGTTATTTATAGAGGGAGATATTTCTAACAAACAATTTCAATGACATTTCTTTTAATATTTTAATGATTCTGAGCATTTTCATACACTCTTGGTTTGAAAGGTTTAGCCCTCTAGAGATCAAAGCAGTATCATTAGATCTTTCTAAGGTTTTACATAGTTGAAATGTAGCCTTTTCTCTTAGGTACCAAACTCATTAATTTGATTTCTGGTTCTTATAGGAGTTTTAAGTGACACTTTTAACCTGCAGTATAGTTGTCTCTTGATCATCACCCTCATTTCAAGTCCATGACTGTGCCAGACACCCACGTCTCAAAATTTTTTATGTTCCTACCATTTCCTACCTCTGCTTGTAACACAAGAAGTGGAAGAGGAATTCACCTTTCTGCAGGTGCTCATGATTACAAGGCACACCATGGACATTGCAGCAGCAATGACCTCCCTCTTCAGAAAACAAATCATGTGTAATTATCTCCAACTATTAATAGGAAGTTGGCAGTTAAGTCAGAGAACAAGTACACAGTAGCACTTGTTTTCCCCTACTTGAAGGCTAAATATTTAAATTACTGACTGCGTGGAAAATGAAGCAGAACAAGTCATCACTGTTGCTGGTTTATCCCTCTTGACTTGCTTTTCCATTAAAATAATTATATGCCTGGGAGAAGAATGTTCACACTTCTGCAAAACAAGAAGTGTTCTGCAGCTCCAGTTGTGCTAAAGCACCTGGGAGTTCATCTTTGTATCTCACTGAGCAGCTCTCATACACAGATAATAAAAACTCTCCCCACATAAAGACCTATAAGCCCTGTTTGTAGAAACTGGAATTTCAATAGTAAATATCTGGTTTTATGTAATATACTTAATTAGCATAATTTAGTGGAATTGGTGACCTACTAAAATATCAAAGATTGTAGAATCCGTTGAAGGGAAGGGAAGGAAAAGGAAAGGAAAGGAAAAAAAGAAAAGGAAAAGGAAAGGAAAAAGGAAAGAAAAGGAGAAGGAAAAAAGAAAGGAAAAGGGAAAATGATAAGGGGAAAGGAAAAAGGAAAAGGAAAAAGGAAAGGAAAAGGGAAAATGATAAGGGGAAAGGAAAAAGGAAAAGGAAAAAAGAAAAGGAAAGAGCTGTCCCAGACCAGCAGCCAAGAAAAGGGAGTCATTTCCAAGGCCAGAAGGAAAACCCTCAGGGAGGGCGAGTGCCCTAGCTGGCTAAATCAAACACATGTACACAGATCATGAGTCCCACTTGGAAGAAAACAATGCAGTGTCCCTCTTTGCTTTACAGCCTCGGACTCTTGAAATGGAGGAAATAACGGTGGCAACAATCCTGGCCCCGTGGCAAATACTGCTGGTCATCCTTGCCGCGGTGCTGACGATGAGTCTCCTCATGCTCCTGCCCCCGGCTGCCGTGGTGCTCTGCAGGATGAGGCGTGTGCCGCAGATCTCGCTGCACGGCTCGGTGTGAGCCAGCCCTGGGAACAGCTGCAACACCACCGATCCCTGCAGGGGACGGGTGGGAATGACCACATCTCTCAGGATCACTCTTTCTACCTAAGGGCCACCCAAAAGCAGTGGATTTACCAGTCTATGGCTGCTTAGCTCCTGTGAGTGGAGAATGTGTGTAATTTTGTCGTCGTGAACTACAGTTCTCTGCACTTTGCCTTTCATTTTTTGGCTATATTTAATTACTGTTATTGGCTCAGTTCCGAGACTGAGTTCTTCTCTTGTGTTATAATGACCTGAAAGAGAAGCAAGCATAATGCAGCACTGTATTCCCTTAATTAATATCAGGAAAGCCTCCCTCTTTATAGTTACACTGTAAATATTACCAAAGCCTTCTGGCTGAGATGACTGATAGTTATGCAAGTGGACTTATCAAAAGCATGCAGGATACTCTGGGGAGGTAGTACTTTAGTCTGGTTGTATTACAGAACATAAAAAAAATAATCAGTTAATGGTGCAATAAATAAACATCCTGTATTTCTTTTGTCTGATCTGAAAACTTACTCGCCTAAAATGTTCTTAATCTCTTTCCTTCTATATGAATTTTCTTCTCTCTGCAACATCCAAGTGCCAGAACACAACACTCCCCCATCCTGGAGCCTGAGCCTGAGGCATGGCCCAGTGCTCAGACATGCCGGGCCAGACACCAACACGAAGTTAATGCAAACATACAGCAACTGTTTGCCTTAAAGAAATTATGCAAATTTACCCTGGGAAATATTGTTATTAAGTTTACTTTAGTTTTTAAGTGTCTCATAGAGGCTTACTGGGTCAACTTCCCTTTCTCGTATGTAAATAATAACTTGGATTGTGGCACAGAACAAAACTGTTTCTCTGCAAGTTTTTGAAAAAAAACAAAAAAACAAAAAAAAAAAAAAAAAAAAAAAAAAAAAAAAAAAAAAAAAAAAAAAAAAAAAAAAAAAAAAAAAAAAAAAAAAAAAAAAAAAAAAAAAAAAAAAAAAAAAAAAAAAAAAAAAAAAAAAAAAAAACAAAAAAAAAAAACCCAAACAAACAGCAACCCAATCTCCAGCTTAATATCAAATTTGTGACTCATCATATTAAAGCTTTCCAGCCAAATTCTTCCACATTATGTGATGCTCATTATTAGGATTTCTGACACACAGAATTAATTTATTAAATTAATTAATTAAAATGGATTTAATAGTTTAATAGTTTACAAGAGTAATGGGTTTGATTTCCTTTTGAAATAAAATATTAGTTTTCTTTTTTTGATTGGTTTAGAAAGTCACTGGAATAGATCAATATAATTGAGAGAAAAAATGTTTTTTAACACCAGTAGAAAAATAGGTATTTTAGTTGAGCATCAGCTGTTAATGTATTGGCTGAAAAGACTCAAACCCATTATAATTTCATTTGATAGAGATCATTTGTTCGACAGAAATAAACAAACCCACCAGTGATTCAAAAGCCATTGCTTTTCATTAAGACTACAGTACTTTTGTCTCCAACACAATGACTTAAGTTACTGCTGCATGGTTTATAAGCAGCCAAAGCAGCCAAATCACCCCTTTGCTGGTGTAATTGTCTGTTCTATTCATTGTCATATGACTGTCTGCTTCTGGGTCCAAAAGCAGCTGATGTTTTCTTTTGCTTGTAATGACTGGATTTTGAATCTGAAATATAAGCATGTAAGTATATGTATCTGAATCATTTATCCAATTAATGATGTAAAGGTCAATCATACATCATGTACCACAATGCTGTATGCTGTCTGTGTCTGAGAGACTGACAGGAATAGGGAAAAGGTGAAGAAGGGAAAGGAAACACAAACAGATAGCTGTCTGTCTTCAGATCTACAGCTTCAGTGTTTGCTCTACAGAAGAAAACTAAAATACAACTCCAAGCACAGATTCCACTGAAAACCAAGTAATAACTAAGCTTCTTGTTTACATTTCATAATAATTCACAGGCACATCTGTTTGGTAGCTACAGCTCCACAAATAAACTGGATTACCAGGGCTAAGTTGCCTTTGGTCTTCACTTGCCCCAAGTACCAGGTGGACAATGGACAGGTTTTCTGCTGGTTTTCTAAACCCCAGTCAAGCAGGCACATGAATAAAGAATTACATCCCTACAGCCAGTAACTGTTACGACTTTCATTGTTTTAATGTTCATCAGAGCAACAATAATGATTAATTGGCAACTATAAAAACAAGTAGAAATATGTCCTTTTCTCATCAAATATGACCCCTGACAGAGAATGATTTCTGATAACAATTAGTGTGTTAAACTAACGACTACATGCATTAAACAATTGTAATCCTTATTTAATTCCAGCTAGACAAATTTAAGCCATAAAAATGAACTTCTTTCTTTGAAACACTTCTACCATGATCTATGTGATTAGATTTAGCCTATATCTCTGTAAGCCAAAGCTGAGGTCATATCATGACTATGGTCTCTAGTCCTTTAACTAAAGAAAAGCTGTATGCTTACATGTCTAAGAAATGATTGCACTGCTCTGCTTCTCT